TGATGAAGTTGGGCTGGAGACTAAAGACGGAACCAAATGCTCTATGGGCGAGAACGCTTATTACAAAATATCATCACAGGTCTGGCTCACATCTGGTCACCACAAGTAGACGAAGCACCTCCAACGCATGGAAAGGAATTAGTGCAGCGAGAGAAACTCTAGAAAGCGGGCTCACGCAGGCTGTCCGAAATGGGAAATCTACGCGCTTTTGGATGGACCCTTGGCTTACAGCAAAACCTCTTTATGAGAAGCTCCGTGGCACCCTCGGCCTCCCAGAACTCTATGCGAAAGTGGACGAGTACTGGGACAAAGTTAGAGGTTGGAAATGGGAGAAGATACTGCGACATCTTCCAGCTGAAGACATAGAGCGCCTAGCCAGCTTCTGCTTAACAGAAGAGAATATCCCAGATGGATGGGGCTGGGGCCCAGACCCTCGTGGATGCTTTTCGATCAAATCAGCGTATGGTTGGGCGGCCAATGCTGCTAATCAGGAGGCTGACAAAGTTTGGGGCCTAATTTGGTCGCTAAGGGTCCCGGCAAGAATCTCGATGTTTATCTGGCTGGTCAAGCATGGGAGAGTCTTAACAAATTATGAACGGACTAGGAGACATATCACATCTAACGAATTTTGTTACATTTGTGCAGGCCAGCGAGAGGACTTGGATCATCTCTTCAGACGGTGCAATAACGCGGATCGCATTTGGAAACATTCGCTACATCGGCGTACGGAGGAGTCTATGCGTAGTCTCGACTGGAATAGCTGGCTTACGATTAATCTGAAAGGGGATCGCAAGCAAGGTTTCGAGGATGGCTGGCCTGAGCGCTTTGGAACCAGACTTTGGTGGTTATGGAAGTGGCGGAACGAAGCAGTCTTTAATGGAAACCTCCTGCCCATGGAACAGAAGCTAGACTGGCTACGAAGGTGCGACAGCGAGACAGCCGCGGCCTTTGAAGGGAGAAGCTGGCTGCTGCAGAGACACAATCGGGGAGGTGAAATAAGGCTGTCATGGGAAAAACCAGAGGAGGGGTGGCTAAAGCTGAATACGGATGGTAGCTGCACGAGTGATGGTCAGGCAAGCTGCGGTGGTGTCCTTCGGGATGCCCATGGTAACTGGTGCAGAGGTTATACATACAGAATAGGAAGATGCACGAGTGCAGTGGCGGAGGCGTGGGGCGTGCTGCAGGGTCTACGCATGGCTAAGGAGTATGGTGCAAGAAGAATAATCATAGAGTGCGATTCAAAATTGCTGGTAGAGGCGCTGAAGGGCAAGGAATTCGGTCAGGAGCAAAACAACAATATTGTACGCAGGTGTATTAAAGAAGGGGAGAGTTTTACAGCGGTGGTTTTCATGCATATTTACAGGGAACAGAACCAACTCGCCGACAAATTGGCGAAGTGGGCGTTGATAAAACAAGGCGGTCTCCATATTCTTGAAGTTCCACCGGGGGAATTTGAAGTTTTGACGGCCCTAGATCGGATGGGAACTGCGTCGACCAAACGAGTGTCCCAGTGAGGACCTCTTTTTTTCTAGTTTTCTGGGTATCCCCCTCTTCTTTGATCCAAAAAAAAAAAATGAAAACAAAAAGAAGCAGCCAAATCAAATAAAATGAAAACAAAAAGAAGCCAAGCAAAAAATAAAAAGTGTAGGGTTCGAGCTCTAGCTATCTAGACTATTATACAATACAATGGATTGGAATTGCCATCTAAACAAAACTAGCCATTGGTTAAATTTTAGTATATATAATATATATACTATATATATGTGGTGGGTCAGTGGTGCCCACACACTAAGTCCGCCACTGTTTGTATGTATATATAGTACATGTAGGTCCGCCACTGTTTGTATGTATATATAGTACATGCTTTAGTATTAGTATAAAAAAAACTATAAAATATTAAGAGTTTTTTCCCAAAATGATCCCTCGACTATCGCTCATTCTCAATTTTACATTTTGACTTTTAATTGCACCCAATGTGGTCCCTTGACTTTTAAAAATTCCCCCAAATTGGTCCTCCGTTAGAAATTCTGTCTACTGAGTGTTAAAATGAATGGCATTTTCGTCTATTTACATATTATATGCCTAATATACTCTGAAAAATAGTCGATGGACCATTTTGGGAATAGTCGAGGGATCATTTTGGGAAAAACTTATTTATTTATTTCATTTTTGTTTATTTCCATTTTTTAAGCCTATCAAATTAGAATTTCAATACATCTTTTTCTTACAAATATAAATAGTTAAAATCCACAATCAAACATCAAAAGTTTAAACTTTCTCCACAATTTTTTCCTTCTGTCTATCAAATTTTAAAATAAGTTTCGTAACTTTCATAAATACTCATATACTTTTTATTTTTATCCTTTTATGTTCATATATATATATATATATATATATATATATATATATATATATATATATATATATTGCGTGCCATATCCCCCAATCCACTGAGGACGATATAACACATCCGAGCTCACATCTCATTTTTGCTACACATCAGTATTCAATTTTGTTACTTTAGGATTGAACTTGCTATTCTTTGAGTATGGTGTAGGGAAGGCAAAAGTGTGATTTTGTTAGATGGAATGATCCTCCAATGTGCGCAAGGTCAAGAAGAATAATTCCTGCGCTATTTAGAAGGATCAATCGAAATGAAGAAGAGATTGCAAGGCTGAAAATGAGGCTACAAGCTAAGGTTGATGTAAAAAAAAATGGTGGACAGGGCAAGGGTACGAGGATATTTGCAGTTATAGCAGTGTGCATTGTGTTATTTTTAGTTTTAGTTTTAGTAGTGAATGTACCTAGAGAAAACAAGGACCTTATGGTGGCTACTAGTTCTGCTGATATGTGATGAATGATTGTGTAATGACCATATATGTACCTATTTGTCATGAATGATTATGTAATGGGTAACTGATTCTGTAATGACCAAGCTTTCTATCAAAGTGTAATGGCTACAAGTTATAAGTATTCTGACCAAGCAAAATAGTTAATTGCTCCAATCATAATTGGTACCCGTCACAATAGATAGATATCTAACTTCCCTAATACATAATACTATATAAACCAACTAAATCTATCATCACTAGAGTTGTCATGTTTTATGCGGGTGACACTTCTATAAAGTGAGATACTTTCCAACTACTGTTTAACAACTTAAACAATAATAACCGTTAACTTCAGACGACACCGTTCCCATGATTTATTATTGACTTCATTAATGTTTATAACTAATATGTAACTACTCAAAATACACTTGTAAGCTCAATTGGTCAATATACAACTCGCTGGAATAACTACATTAACGACTTACCTAATACGCAACACTATGCAAATGAACTAAAATTGTTGTTGGTAAAATTGTCATGTTATGTTTTTTTTTTTTTTTTTTTTTTTTTGAAAACCAAACAAACGAACTTATATTAAATCATTGAAGAAAGACGAGATACAATCGTGAGGGAGAATCAGTTGCCCGTGCAAGTACATGAGCCACTTGATTCGCTGACCTTATGACATGGTGAACAACAACGTTCCCAATGTCTCTAGCAATTAAACAACATTGTTGAATAACAGACCCAACATAAGAATAGTCTAGACAAACAGAATTGAACGAAGAACAAAAATTTAAACAGTCAGACTCCATAATAAAATTATGACAGAAATTACAACTCTTAAACCACGTTAAAAAAATCCAAGTTAAAACCAAATAAGAACCATATTAACTTCAACATTTTGGCCCTGTTTGGTAAAATAATTAGTCTATCAGTCAATTTTGACTTATTTAACCACTATTAGCTGTCTGACTTGGTTAAACAATCAATATAAGTGTTTAATTAATTAGTTTTTTATAACAACTTATTGCTTCAAAATGCTAAAATTTAAAAAGTCACTCAAAATAACTTTTTCGATCAGCTTTTTGAGAAATTCATTTTGTATGTAATCAGCTAAAAGTTAACAACTAATTGACCAAACACTTTTCTACAATCAACTAATGTTATCAACTAGTTAAACTACTAACTCAATCAACTACCAACTATCAGCTAACTGTCATTTACCAAACACCCTTTGACATTTTTGAAAAGAAATTATATGAATTTAAACTAAAAATATGATACAGTTTACATTTTTCAATATATATTTGGTTAAAATGATAAATGGTGACAAAATAAATAAAAACTATGCATCAACTTAATAAAAAGAATTAATTTCATTTTTGGTCCTAAATTTATATGTGATAATCCACTTTTAGTCTCTTTTTTTTTTTTATTAGAACATTCACATTTGGTCCTAATATTATTATAGTATGACCATTTTTGTCCTCTACCAACAGAACAGTTTTAACGCCATTAAATACAAAAATATTTCGGTCTTCAATTACAGATTTTTTTTAAAATAAAGATAAAAATATAACATGGTCAACTCATTTTGTATAAAAATATCAAAATGCATTTGTATTTAACAATATTTTAACAATTTTGTTGACAAATAATAAAAAATAATCATGCCAAAATAATACTAGGACTAAATATGAATGTTTTGATAAAAATAAAAAAAAAATAAAAAAAAATAAAAAAAAAAACTAAAAGTAGACTATCACCTATAAATCTAGGACCAAGTGTATAATTAAGTCTAATAAAAACAACATTTAAAGATCAAATTTGCAAGTAAATAAAAAATATTAGGACGCGAAAATAAATTAAATTTCCCAGTCCTCTCTGTTGACTCTGTATATTAACTGGCTCAAAGAGTCAAGGCACAGACAAAGATACTTGTAGCCTAGCCGTTTTCCGCTCTCTCTCTCACAGTCTCTCTCTCGCTCTCTCTCTCTCTCTCTCGCTCTCTCGCTCTCGCTCTCGTTCTCGTTCTCTCAGTCTCTCTCTCTCTCGCCCTCGCTCTCGCTCTCGTTCTCTCAGTCTCTCTCTCTCGCTCTCGCTCTCGCTCTCGCTCTCGTTCTCTCAGTCTCTCTCTCTCTCGCTCTCGCTCTCGTTCTCTCAGTCTCTCTCTCGCTCTCGTTCTCTCAGTCTCTCTCTCGCTCTCGTTCTCTCAGTCTCTCTCTCGCTCTCTCAGTCTCTCTCTCTGTGTATCGAGTTGATAGCCTCTTCTCGAACCCTCATTCCCGTAGAGACGAAGAAGCATACGTCGGGAAAGATTCTCATTGGCCTTGTATCGGCGACTCGACTCGGTAATGTACCTTCCCCTCCTATCTGTTTCTTGAAGATATCAGTTCTTGGTTGTGTATCATCCTTTGTTTGCATCTATAAATTTAGGAATATATGTTCGTGCCTTAGTTATCGGTGATTTGCTTGTTAATTTTCTAGATTATAGCCATTTCTTCAGATTTTCACACTCACCCGATCACCCCCTTTGAAATCTACTTTTTGATAGTGAAAGCGTGCATGAGAAGTGCGTTCTCAGTGTGTTTTTTTTTTTTTTTTTTTTTTTTTTTTGCTGTTCTGAATTTTGATCGAATTTGATTGCTGTTGAATCTGTATCAAGGAATAGGCTTTTGCTTGGTGTGGTATTATAATCTATTGGTATTTATTAAGTAGCTAATGTATCTAATGGAGGTGTGAATGGAGATGTTAATTACTCCTTGTTTGCAGGTTCCTGAAGAGGTGAAGGAAATGGTGAGAAGTGAGTTACTGGAGAAGAGATTCGGAAAGGCAATGAGGGATGTTGGGGAGCTTAACAAGCCCAACCTTCCAGTGAAGAGGACCAGGCAGGACAGGCTTGACAAACAACTGAAACAAGACAGCATTCAAAATTCTGGCAATATGATAGCTTCGGTCTTTCCCAGCGGGCGAGTGGACTCGCCAGCTGAAGGTAGTGGTGTCAGTGATTCATCACTAAGAAAAGCCCAGAAAAGTATTGGCAGGTTCTTTTATGAAACAGGAGTTGACTTCAGTGCAATCAAAGCACCTAGCTTCCCGGTGATGATAAAATCTATCATTGGCCCTTTGAATACAATGAAACTTCCTACTTGTAATGATTTGAAAGGGTGGATCCTTCAGGATGCAGTGAAAGAGATGCAAGAGTATACGTCTGATATCAAGAGTGTATGGGCAACCACAGGATGCAGCATCTTGTTAGACGGATGGGTAGATTCAAAGGGTCGAAAGCTTGTTAATGTCTTAGTAAATTGCCCAAAGGGCACAGTTTATCATCAATCCTATGATATTTCAGCAATTGATGGCAATGTTGTTGCAATGGAAGATTTTTTGGCTAATGTTGTTGAGGAGGTTGGAGCTGATAATGTGGTTCAAATTGTCTCGTACTCAACATCAACTTTCATGGAGGATGTAGGGAAGAGACTAAACGAAAAGCATAAGGGTGTTTTTTGGACTGTGAGTGCATCTCACTGTATAGAACTTATGCTAAACAAACTTGCAATGATGGATGTCTTCAAGGAAATATTGGAGAAGGCAAAAACCATTACACAATTTGTTTACAGCAATGAGGATGTCCTGAAACTTGCAAGAAAGTTTTGCTCTACTGACTTAGTTAAGCCTTCGAAGATAAAGTCAATAGTTCCGTTTCTTACCCTTGAGAACATGGCGGTGGAGGACGAAAACTTGCAAAAGATGTTTCTCTCTTCGGGTTGGAAATCCTTAGTTTGTGCTTCTACCGAGGAGGGGCGAAGCATTGCTGCCTTGGTGGCAGATAAAACTTTTTGGAATGGAGCTTTGACGGTCTCAAAGGCCACTATTCCGCTGGTGACAGTTTTGAAATTGATCGGTGGAAGTAATAAGCCAGAAATTGGTTCTCTATATGACACAATAGACCAGGCTAAGGAGACAATCAGAATAGAATTCCAGTCGAGGAAATCCCAATACATACCATTCTGGGAAGCAATAGATGAAATTTGGAACAAGTATCTTCACAGCCCTCTCCATGCTGCAGGATACTTTTTGAACCCTAATCTTTTCTATTCAGATGACTTCTTCGCTGATGCAGAAGTTTCATGTGGCCTCTGTTGCTGCATTGTCCGTATGTCACCGAATCTTAGCATTCAAGATTTGATGATGCTGCAGATTGACAAGTACCGGATGGCAAAGGGTGATTTTGGCTTAGGCAGTTCCGAGCTGGAAAATATTCATCCAGGTCATATACTTTCTGCTTTTGAGTAATATTTTATGTGCTTGTTTAGTGCAACTTAGGGGACATTTGGTTTAAACATAGGTATCTCGGAAACAAAATTGACCTAATTGGAATGAGTTATAGTAAACATAGCATGCCTATTTGGTACTCCGTATTAAATTGGAATAGCAGTTATTAATGAAATTGTTATGTGGATATATACAATCTTTGAATTGGAATCAAAGGAAAAAAAATGAATTATGTATTAAAATAAAGAAACATGGTTCAAAAAATTTCCTTTTCCCTCCCTGCATGTCAGCAATTTAGAAAGTTCCCTTTCCTCTCTCTTCCTCTGTCTTGAATTCTTGATCTCCCTTTCTCCCAGTCTCACCCAAATCTCATACCTCTCTCCTTTTCCCCTTTCTACCCGCACAGAACCACCAGTAATGCTATAGTAGATCCTCAAATTGGAATAATCTGGAAATTTGTTGGTATAAGATATCAATTTCCACAGTACATGATTTTTTTTCATTAGGATTCAAAAACCTAAATAGTTTGTCTTCTCCCCTCTGTGTATACGCTATCTCAATTATCATTTCCTGAATTACCCACTTTTTTCTTCACACTTTGTCATCAAGAAAGATCAAGAGGTCTGAGTCTTGCGATGGCTAAGAGTTCCGAGTTCCTTCAATATTGACTATCTTTTGAGGAAGGGCAGAATCTACCTGCATCCAGGGGAAGTATTCTGATATAGAAGTAGTGATTTTTTGAGGAAGTGGGAAAGGAGTGACATTTGTGGAAGGCATGGACTATGAATCAAAGTAACATTTACATTAATTAAGAAAAAGCTTCAATGCTAAAATCACCATTTGATTTCAGAAGGGAGATAGAAAGTAAGAGGAGAACAAAATAGAGAGATGGGGTTCATAATATCTTCAGCAGAAGTTTTGGAAGCATGATAGAAACTAGGGCAAATAGATGTATTTATAAAACATTTTGGATGCTTGATATTCTAATTAAAAGATGATTTTTTTTTTTTTTATGTGGAAGAAGAAAATTCCTCCAGCATTGTTGATGCCCTACATTTTTATGTCTGTCCAGCTTTTGACATCTCTTTTTTTTTTTTTTTTTTTTTTTTTTTTGGAATAGTTATGCCCAAAAAATAAGTTGGGCAAAACAAGTACTGAGTTACTAACAAACTTTAGTTGCAGCACTTTGGTGGTCAAAGTATGGAGATGAATGCCCTGAACTACAAATGATGGCTGTCCGGATCCTGAGTCAGACCTGTGATGGGGCTTCAAAATATAATCTAAAGAGGACATTGGCAGAGGCCTTGCTCACTGAAGGGAGAAACCAGATTGAACAGGAGAGGCTGAGGGATCTGGCTTTTGTTCACTACAATCTGCAGTTACAAAATTTTAAGCCAGATGTCTGCAACGACTTCTCAGATGAGGAGATCGACCCCATGGATGACTGGATAGTGAAAAGACAGCATGGTTCACTGATCAGGTATGAAGAGCCAGTGCCAATAGAGTTGGATTCTGAAGGTTCAGCTAGAGAAGGGGTCATTTGAAAAGACAGGGCAATTCTCGCGCAGAAAGGAGCTCAGCTAGTGATGTAAATTATCTGTAGATTTTGTAAGTGCAACCGGCAGTCTACAGTGACCATAAACTTAATAGTTGAATAGGCCAGTTTCATACTCCCTATATTTGGTTAGTGTTAATTGTTCTGACCATTGAAAATTCACATGGTTGGCAGAATTATGGATTGCTCAAAACTAAGTTAAAGGAAATGATAACTTTGAAGAATGTTATCGCAAAAGTCATTCTAGTCAAGCCTAGCAGTGCTTGCCTCAATTAGAAATTTGCATCGTGATGTTAGCTGTACAAAGACACATCTCTCCAATCCACACATAAATTGGTTGGTTGTGTAATTGACTAATTGCATTGCTGAAGCTAATAGGAGTAATAAACAAATCAGATACACAGTTGCTTTAAGGGTTTCTGCATCAAAACTAAGGGCTAAAAGAAAGAACTATAGGTGAAGGGAGGCTTGGAGTCTCCACATTATAATGTGTGGATAGATTATCTGTGTGACTCGATCCATAACCTCCACATTTTCTGTTTACAACTCAGCCCTGCTTACCATCCTTCAGTATGATAGAGTTGGGATTGGAGAAATTATATGGACAGAGTGCAAACACTATGGTCCATCTTCACCATCTCTAATCAGATTGCATATATCAGAACACTCCACCAAACTGCAAGAAGGGCAATACAAAGACCATTAAAAGAAGAAGCAATTAGATCAATCTTTCTTAGAATTAAGCATGTCACAGAACTTCAGAATATAGTAACATCTTTCAGCATTTTTCTTTAGGGGAATTTTCTTATGAGTTGTTTTGGCTTAAGTAATACCATTGTTCATGATGCTGTACAATTGCGCCTGAAACACCACAGCTAATCCCCAAATCTCTTGATTCATACAGAAAGGACACTATCTTACCGAAGGATTAGAAAACAAATTCTTGTCTTGTACAGAAGAAAGAGGTTACAATAGAATAACAATTCCAACCAATATTTCATTCTTGCATTTGCACAAACCAACCTAGCATACTTGTTAACCGGAATCACTATGAAGAATATATTTGTACTCCACTTGTAACGTACAAATCAAACACCCATCATACTTGTAGCAGTCATATACAATATCATGGTACTATATATTCTTTTATTTCATTTTGGAAGGGTGAAGGATCAAGTGGGAACTAGAGGGAGGATCCCAAGGAGAATACACCTACCAGAGCCTGGTAAATAATATGTATTCTTTCATTTCATTTCGAAAGGGTGAAGTAGAACTAAATGGATTATCCCAGGAAGCATAAACCAAATAGAGCTCAGTAAATAATATGAACAAGACCTATTATTTACCATTGACTCAGACACTCTATTTTCCTAGGAAAGCAGAGCTTCCCAATTTGTATAACCAGATCCCCCCATCCCCCCACTGCTCTCTCACCCAAACAATACTGCATTCCATAAGCAACACATTCTTGCCATTTCTCCTACCCTTCCACTTTCCCTGCTTCTTCCATGCAATTTATGCCATCACTCTGAATTCCATAAGCTGAGATGTGCTTTGGCAATAAGTCAAAGGTTCTAGTGGCTCTTCATTGCATGTTTTATTGGGATGGAAATTAAGCAATAGAAAAGAACAAGCTAATCAACAATTGTGATTCAAGGAAGAAATACCAGTAATGCCGGCTCCGGAACCCATTCTTGAACACTACCAGAGGCCTGCTGAGGAAAAGCGGGGGAAAAAGATGAAAGATGTGATCTTAATTAAATGAGTTTATAATGCAGGGAAAATGCATAATTTTCTCCAATTGCTAGATTATGAGCCCTGACTCACATAACTACATGAATTTTGAAGAAGAATCAATTGAAACATGATGAACGTTATATTTATGAACATTTAGCAACTCAGCAAACAACATAATGATAAACATCGTAACCTAGGCTTCAATCCTATAATGTTCATGTTTGATTGGAATTTAGTACTATCATAAGTTGCATGATGCAAGACTTATGAGGGCTCACAGTATTTTGATTGCAATAAGTTGAATCTAATTGAACAGCATAAATTTTGTATAGCATTGACAAGGAAATGAATTGCTCGGTACTCCGAATAGGAACACTCGATATAGAGGAGTACTTGAAATTCAACTACCTTCTAACATTGAGCGGACCTTCGCCTGGCGACCCGTAGCCGCCGCGAATGCAAGTATTAACACATTTGACGGTGCAGGTCTCTGCCTGCTTCGATTTCGGCCGTTGAATCCTATCCTTCTTCGCACAATCCCCGCCCTCGCATTCGCTTGATAGCGTCTGCGGTATATTGGAAAGCGTCTCCATGTCGGCTTGCTGTTGAGCTCCAGTAAGCTCCACCGCGTCAGCTCGGCCGCCCAATACCACGGCGCACGCGGTTGCCGCCAGCAATGCTGCAGTTATCGGTCGGACGATGCAGTTAGTCGCCGGATTAGGTGCAATGCACGCCGGTGATCCTTTCCGTTGAGAATCGCGGGTGAATTTGATTCCTCCGCCGGCGGCGGCTATGAAGAAGCGTGTGTTGCAGTAATGAGTGAGCGGAGCTGCGGAATAGAGTATTCCTACCATGTCCTCCGCCGGCACCAGATAGATAGACGTCGGGCAACGCTCCAACTGTAATTACCGCGAATCCGCAACAACCATGAATATAGTTTATTTTTATTTTTAAATTTATTTTTGAAAAATAACCAATATTGCGTGGTCGATATTTATTCCCTGCGCTGCAAATATTTTTAATGTCTTAACAAATGATTATTAAAATATTTAAAAAAAAAAAAAAAAAAAAAAAAAAAGGTCTTACGATCGTTCATTATTTCAAAAAAAAAAAAAAGTCATGACCATTGGCAACTGAATTAGAGTGACTCGAGCACGTCTATATATATATATATATAGTTGGCAAGCAACTCGACGAGTCACGAACCTAAAATATTTGAACTCAAACTCAACTCGATTACGAAATAAGCCAACTCAGTTCAACTCGAATTTGAAATTGACCGAGCTCAAATTGAACTTTGATCGAGTGAATCTCGAGCGTTCGCGAGCTACTCGCTCGGCTCATTTACACCTCTACAACTGAATATCTGAATGGATTCAAAAAGTATGGAGATAATTAATATGAGTAATAAGAAACTGGCAACATCACTATATTAATTAATGTCTTAATAAAGTTCTAAAATTTTAAAAAGAAAACAAAAAATATAAAGAAATATCAATAGCAAATTGAAGAAAACACTATTTCATTTTGAATCTGTTTCCTTGAGCCATCAGCCAAAGCAAAGGACCACAGAAATTTGAGCATTTTATATCAAAATCTGGAGAATACAATGTAGTCCAAGGAATACATACACTAAGAAGAGCTCAAAGGATTAGCTAAGAGGGGATACAGAAAACTAAGATCAGCGACCGGGCGGCCAGGATGCCCAAAAGGAACCGTAAGAAACAACATTAGTATACAACTTTTTAGAGAGGCCTTTACTTGAAGGGCGGGCTGACTATCTTCTGCAATCAAAAGATTTATAATGAATCTTCAAGCTCATCCGGTACATGCAACTTCTCGATAGCCGCCTGCAGAAAAGATTAACAAACAGATGAGCATATCCCGACTTGAAATTGCTTTTCCGAACTCTGTGCATGAATGATTGGAAAGCGGTTCAAATCCTAAAATATGCAAAATCAACAAACAGAAGTACAGAACACAATGCTTTCCACGCTAATACAGAGTTGGGGAAGCTGCATTAACATCGTGGAAGAAAAACTGAAAAAGAGCAAAAATTTTAGTCAATGACCTTAATGGTTGCAACATCTGTGGCAGATGGTCTCAGATCCAATGCTAGGCCAAAATGAAGCATGGCTTTGTCATGAATGTTATGCCTTTTGTAGATCTTACCCATCAAAGCATACACACTGCTCTCACGAGGAGCGTGTTCTTTAAGCTCCTCTAAGACTTCTAAAGCTGCATCAAATTTTTCCATGCTTACAAGGATGTTAGCCTTCTGATACATCGGGAGAGGATTTTTCTTATCAGCTAAAATAGCCTTCTCCATCATTTCTAATGCCTCCTCATTTTTCTGGCCATTGATGGAAACAAAATAAAGTTATGAGATTGGGCAAAAAGTCGTGGTTTTCTACTGCACAAGATCACCACCAATCGCTAACCTTTAGAGCATGTAAAGTGGTCCCTAGATATGACATGATAACAGAAGAATGGGGATTGATTTGGAGAGCCATACGGAAGTGATGTTCTGAAAATTCAAACTTTTCCTGTCGGAGATAGACCATGCCAAGGCCGTACCACGCATTATAATGTCTGCTATCCACCCTAAGTGCACTCTGATAGCTTTTAATACCATTCTCAAAGTCCTCCACTGCAACATACCTGAGAACAAATTATAATTATAATCTTATTCTCAATATAAAAGCACCAAAATAAATAGGAAAGCGCACTTTTAGTATAATATATTATTGAGAAATTGATTGTCACTACTATAACTAACAGACTAAATCCTGATTGAATGTTATGTCAAGAGAAACAAAGCATAAAAGGGGAAGTTGTAAGGCATACTCGTGACCACAGAGAGTGTGAGCATATGCGAATCTGGAATTTAGTTGTACAGCTCGCTGGAAATTTCTAAGAGCAGTCTCATGGTCTTTCTGAGAGCTATAACAATTGCCCATTGCACACCTGCAGCATAAATGTATCCACTAATAGATCAGTTTGGTTTACAAAACTGTCATGCTTTTTAGTAAGAGAATCCAGCAAGAAATATGGTGATATGCAGCTATATTCAGCCAAAATTTATTCCGTGCCATAACATAAAGAGACAACTAAAAAAAGAAATAATTGAAGATATTTATGGGAAACAGAGCCATTTCGAATGCAAAAGCATGCCTCCCAAGTCTTGAGAAGAAACAAAAAGAATCAGTTGCTGCATTTGCTCAGAAAAGATAAGAGCGGAAGCAATATTGCATAAGGCATTAACTAAAGTCAAAGTTTGAACCACAGAATGGTATTTAGCAAGTTCAGAAATATTACCAAGATTGAGGAGCTAATTTATCAGTTGATATCAGCTCCTGTGCTAAGTAACTTAATTTCATATCCTCCTTCAAATGCTGAAATGGGCGAAACATATAATGAGCAAAAATAGAAGCAATTGAAGTAAAAAACATTGAGATAAGTTTGCATTCATATGATTGAAAGATCA